AATTTTATAATTTTGAATTTTGATAATTTGTAACTTATTTGAAATTGATAAATTTAATTTTATAATTTTAACTCCAAAATAAAAAACTTGTAAAAATTATCTTGCAATTGTATTAATAAAATAATAAATATTAAAAATATGAAATAAAAATTATAAAAATAATTATATAAAAATATAATGGTTAATAGAAAACTAATGAATATTATAGGATTAAATACTTGATTATATAATTGTATAATATTATTATTCTTGAGTTAATAAAATTAATTACAAATTATTATTATAAATTCTGAAAAATAATTACCTTGATAAATTGAAATAATATTTAAGTATGATAAAACTGAAAGATAACTAATGATTTCCTTTCTAAAATAATTGAATCAGTGGTACCTTTTAAAACAACTGAACAACAGTTTTACCTTTGGGAAAGGATTATAAAATTTTTAAAAAATTATTAAGTTACTTTATTAGTTTGTCCTTAAGGAAACCAGAAACCACTGGTAACAATTTAGTACCTTCTAGTAATAAGAAATCTTAATTATTGCAAAAAGAATAAATGTGAGAATAAGTTGATAAAGTTACTAGAAGAAACAATTGGAATTGTGAAAAATATATTATTGTGAGATGATAATTTTGAAATAAATGTTAAAAATATAAGGAAAACTCTGTCAAATTGAAATGAAAAAGGATTGACAATAAATATCAAAATTGAAAGAATTGATAAGTCTTCAAAATTTGCTCTGTCATCACTGTCAGAAAATATTAAATTAAATTTAGAAATTATTAGAAACCACTAAGTGCAAAACCTCTGACTAAACTTCAAGTACTTATACCTCTGATTAAGAATCAAGTGCAAATTTCTAGTGAAGTAGTTGTTAGTATGGATAAGTCAAGCTTGATCACCTCGTATCTGAAAATAATTAAGAAAAGGTGTTGTCAATATTTTGAAAGTTATAGTACATAACTATTGGGAAGGTGAACTGCCACTGTTAATACCTAATAGTATATGACACAGTGTACTCAACCTAAGAATATTTTAAAATTAATTCACATCAGAATATTAGTTACTTTTATAAGGATGTGACAAATAAGAAATTCTCAAATGATCACAAATAGATCAACAAAGAAAAACTTATAAAAGGGACAGCAAAATAACAAAGTAATTTTCAGAAAAACTGAAAGAAAAAATAAAAATAATTAAAAATTGGCATATAGAAAGAAATATCAATTATATAAAAAAGAAACATATCTAAATATTAACTAAGAGTTAGAAAATATCAATAGATATAGGTTTATTTAAATAAATAAGGCATTAAAATTTCATTTCCTTTAATTTTGGTTCACAAAATTAAAATGCAATATTATCTCAATAACTAATTATAAGATTTGAGTAATTTTTATTCATTCAAAATAGATAAAAAATATTTGACAAAATATTTAACAAAATATTTAGCTTCAAAGTTTTTTATTAAATTTATTAAATTAATATACATCTACATGGTTTACATAGTTTTAGATTTAATAAAAAAAGATAATAAAGTTCATTCATAAATAAATTTTAATCATTCATTTCTGATTTTTTAAAATTGATATTAGAATCTTCTTCATCTTCCATATCTATGCCCTTTTCTCTTAATCTTTCTTTTCTAATTCGGAAATATTCTTCTTTAGTTATTTTTCTAACTGGTGACCAATTCTTTGTTGCAAGCCAAGCAAATATACCAGTATCTTTATTATTTTTATTATTTTCACTTTCTGCATTTTCCGGTAATGATTTTTTTAATTGTTTATCCCGAATTTCTTCAAGAATTAATTGTTGTCTAAGATTATATAAGCTAGTATAACAATATTGTCCTGCACCACATAAAAGTGAAAACACAATGAAGCCTGGAATAATTCCTTGACGACTTCCTTCTGAGAAATCCATAAAATTTCAATTTATTCACAAATTCCTTCTTTAAATAAATAAAAAAATAAATAAGAAAGAAAAAGAACCAACCTATTATAATTGCATTAAATATTCCACCAGTCATTCCCCCAGCCAAAGTACTACTAATAAATTCATCATAATTCCTAGTCTGATAATCTTTTAATCCCAATTTTGGATTATGCTTTTTTTGATACAACAAAAATGATTCTCTGAAACCTTTAATGAATTATAATATTTTATATTGTACTGTGGTTTCTAAAATAAAAAAAAAAACAGAAATATCTATTTAAACTTACAGAAAAATGTACAACCAATTATCCCACAGTTTAATCCTGCTATAAAAGCGTTTCGAAACAAGGGCCTATTATTTAAAAAACTAGCAATAGTGCCAGTAGCAGCTCCAAAGCTGGCTTGAGTTGCATAAAATTTGTAATAATGTGTCAATACTTAATGAAAAGTTTTTTAGCAGAACAAATAATAAAAAAAATTTTAAGAACCAGTAAAAATTGTGCCAGTAAAAATTCTTTTTCTTGATTCAGCGTCCATTTGAAGCCGAAATTTGCATTCTACACGTTTTCTTGGATAAAAAATAAAAGATCAATGGAGATCCGAAGATCTAAGATCGCAAAAAATTCGTGTTACAATGGTGTAACTACATCAAATATATTAAACTCAGAACAATTAAATTGTCGCTTGAATTTTAATAATGTCAACGCGCCAAGCAGAAAAATCTAGTCCAGATGCAGTGGAAACAAATCCTAGAGGCATTCCTAAAGTTCAATTTGTAGTAAGTATTTGATTCAACATTACCGCGTTTATTAAACTTTAATCATTTTATTTTATATTTTTATTTGAACAGGAAAATGTTGAAGATTTTATTGAAAAGTCTTCTTCAACGGTTGAGGTTACCCTTAGTAAATTTCAAGAAACTGTTGCGTAAGTATTGGTCTACACTAGTATTATCAAAATTTAAAAATTCTTCAAACATTTAATGCCCTAATAATAAACTTAATTTTTAGTTATTAATTTCTTATTTTAGAAAATATAAATTTATGGAAGTTAATTTCTTGAGCCGTAAGAAAGCACTTGAACTTAAAATACCAGAAATAAAAAAAACTTTAACTGTCGTAGAATTCTTGATTTCAAATCAGGTGAATTTGAATATTTCATTTATTTATTTTTTTTTTTATATGATAATTTAATTTTTCTTTAAATCGAATATATATATAATATAATATTTTTATAGGAATCTAATAAACCGATAGAGACCATTTTTGAATTAAACGACACGCTGTGGGCTGCTGCCAAAACTAAATCAACAAAAACAATTTATTTATGGCTTGGGGTGAGTTACAATTTATTTAATTTATTTAATTTATTTAATAATGTCAAAAGAAAATAATTTTGTTCTATTTTGTTTTACGCAGGCAAACGTAATGATTGAGTATACGTTACAAGAAGCAAAAGAGCTTCTTGAAAATAAATTGTCTAACGCACAAAATTCATTAAATAATGTCGTGGAAGATTTAGAATTTCTTAGGGAACAAATAACTACAATGGAAGTTAGTATCCTTTTTAACATTATAAAGAATCAAAATAATTTATTGTCGTCAGACATTATTTTATTCGGTAACAGAATCAGTTCTAGTTATTCCTTGATTCGTAATTTATTTTTACAGATACTGCACGAGTTTATAATTGGGATGTCAAACAAAGAAGGGTTAAAAGACAAGCGGAGACGAGTTAATATTTCCCTATTTTTTTTGTTATTTTTTCGATTTAATAGAATTTAACGAATCTTTGTAACTTTGCATTTACGAATGAAATATTTTATTTAATTAAACTAGTATTTACATTATTAAAACTTTTGATGTCTAAAAAAATCAAATGTAGAATAATATAGATATTTATTTTACTGAATCACCAAATCAACATACAGATTATATGATTCCTGTGGAAATTCATTTCTCTTGTATGCATTATTAATTGATGTTAATCGATTTATGTTGTATATAAAGTTTTTTTTTTTTAAAAAAAAATATTTCGAAAAATGTTACGTGTTCACACCCTCTTGATTGAATTGTGAAATGGAAAGGGATGAAGAAGGAATGTGAGGTGAAATATGAGAGTGCCTTATTACTCTTTGTTGTTCTACTTATTCTAGAGATACTACTAATTGTTGATTTGATGGAACTATCTGCCCTATTCACAAGGAAAGGAATTAGCAAATGGTGCCTTTGATCACCATATTGTGCCTTTAGTTAGTGTGACAAGGAAAATTTTTGGTCACGGAGAGATAATAATTGTGACGCAAAATCAACAAGGTAGACATTGCGTAAGTAAATATGTGCAATTGCTACTCCTTATTTTTTTTTCGCTAACTTGCCGGAAATACTCTTAGGGATAGTACTGAATGCGGTTCCAGAAAGTCCAGAAAGAATGCAAGTCTGCAACTATTATCGAAATTTGTGATGGGAAAAGGGAGAATTTAATGAAGCGAGATGGAATGAAGTAACGTAAGTTTACTGTTTGATGTGATATTTTTTGAGCCAGTTGCTGATATAAATTGTTTATATTAAGCCTACCGTATGTACTTACTACGGACATCATGGAAGATTATAAAGAACGCGTCGAAAAATTTAACATTCACGGATGTTGGGAATGGTCAAATGGAGCAGTAATAATCTATGAACTTCTCTCTATGCAACACGAAGTTTGCATCGGTGCAGTTGCTGAAGAAATAATGGATGTTGTAGAAATGTTAAAGGGACAAGCATAGTGGACATTCGTTTTATCACCTGTGATAAAATCGATCGTCGATCTTTTTTATATTGTGTAACATTTTAT